TGGCTAAAAACAAAAATGAATGCGATCTTATTTTCTTCCAAATTCAGTCAATAGAATTTAAATTCCCATCACCCTATGCTTTTTTTTTTAAACACACAAACCTCATTTAAATTGAGCAAATAATACGGTTCATCACTTAGATCGATTAGAGATGTCTGAGGTTACAGTTAAAAATAAGATTAGTATTGTGTTTTTTTTCTTTTATTATTTAATAAGACTTACAAGAGGATGTAATTGATTCTGATATGGTTGAGCTACTGGTGTTGCAGTTACCCACGATTGACTAGATCCTATAAAAATACAAACAAATTTCGGTTTTTTGTTGAAATAAAACTTTGTGCAATATATACCACTCAATGGTGGTGGAGAGACAGGAGTTGATGGTGTCGAAGAATAGGGATGATCACTTGGATAGATCTAAAGAAACAAATACTGTTCATTTTCCTATTTATTTTTGTTAAATATCATACAGATTGTAATGCTTTTCCAAGAGTTTCTCCAGTTTGTACTGTTTGTTCATTGCCATTACTCGTATATGACGTTGGTTGTTGAAATCGAAAGCTTGCCATTGACGGTAAACATGCACTTGTTGAATCTGTAAAGGATCCATGATTATTAGCAAGATCATTTGGTAAATAAGTTGATGGTGGTGGTGGTAACCATGAAGCACCATTTTGACCATCTATTAAACAAAAAGCTCTCATCCAAAAAGCAATAATATTTCAATTAATTTACATACCGATATAATATGTTGATTCATTTCCATAAATTGATTTTCCAGTTGGATATCGTCCAGCATTTTCTGGATTGTAATCATCCGATGTATAGACCTAATATGAAAAAGTAATGATTGTATAACGAACGTCTATAGCCTATTAATATCTAAGTTGTTTTGATTGACCTCATGTGCAAACGCTTTAGTTTTTTTCCTCATATGATAAATCACACAAGTGCTCTCTTCATTAGATATTTTCCATAGAAAATCAATTCTAATTATTTTTCCCAAGCGATGTTCGATGATGATGATTATTATTATTATTCTCCTCCTCCTCCTTCTTTTCCAATCGAACCATAGCCAATACACATTTGTCAGCAATAAACGTATATATATATATATAGGCAAATTCTGATGATAATTTCATGATAGAAATTAATCCGATATACTAAAATCAACAGTCTCATCCAAACAGAAGACTGACGACGTATCATTCGAGCAAAAAAACTTGATCGCCCACTGATTTTTATGTTGGCTAATCAAGAGAATGTAAGAGAAAAAGGTTCGTTTGTTTGTGCTCACTCGGCACGAGATCAAAGGACGTGCGAGCGCAATTCATGCTGACATTCACATCGTTCGATTGAGCAGGAGAATGTGTTGATTAGCATTATCTTTCTTTTTTTTCTTCTTTATCCGATCAATTGCATTTGAAGACAAGCAAAAGAAAACGAAAAAAAAAACAATAAAGAAGATCTAAATAACAAAAAACCTCTTTTTTTTTCTATTTCTATTCGTACTAAAGACAAGGTGACAATTACTATTCGTTTTTTCTTAATCCGATATAAATTGTAAAAAAGAAAATTGCAATAAGGTCTTCATCTTTGTCTTCTTCTGATGCTTAACTATTTCTTAAGACAAGATGAAAAATAAAATATTATATTTTCATACCTGATATGATGGTCGAGAATAGTAGAACATTTGTATTGTATTGAGAAAAAAAAGCGATTATTTCATCACAGTTAGTCAAAAAAAAAGAAAGAACAAGAAATCAAATTGACTTATAATTGTTGTGTCAAATAAACTCGTAGTATACGTGTAGCACTGCTTGATAGCACAGGAAAGAGGGAAAAAGTGATATGCATCGAAAGAGAAGAAAAAGAAAAAGAGAAGGAGAGTCGATCGATGCGGGAGACCTTTCACTGGAACAGCGAGATATCCTTATCTTGCGATGTGTTAACTAGAGGCGGGCATACGAACAGGAAAGAGAGAAACAAGACGTATAAAAAAAAATCATCATCATCTCTCGCTCTCCTTCTCTCTCTCTCTTTTCTTTCTCCTTTTTTTTTTGTTTGCTGCTGTCTTGTAGCGGAAGACAGAGAAGGTGAAATAAATGTAAAGACAAAAGCTCGTATCTCGAGCAGGCATCATGCGCCCGGGCGAATGAGTTTCTCCCTCATCCGCAGATAAACAACTGTATATTAAGCAATATAATTGGAAGAACGGAGATCTTTGCTTATAGTCATAGTTTTTTTTTGTCAAGATCAAAATGAAAGAAAAAAAACCTATTCCTCAAGCTACATTTCTTATTAGACTTCTGTCTTTATTATCTATGTTTATGTCGTCGAATAATTATTACACAAGCTTCTTTCATTTGTATATATGCACAAAGTCGATTAGCGCTTCTTTTTTCTCTCTCTCTCTCTTTTTTTACTCATTTATCATTGTCGGAAACAAGCAGTAGTAACAATCGAATATCTATTATCATATCTCACGACATCTTCAAGCAAAGAAGAGAGAGAGAGACCAACATCACTACTAGTAACGTTTATTACATTGTTTGTCCCTTTTACATTTACCGCAATGCTTATATGATGTTTACAAAGAGGAAAGCTCGTAGCGCAGCTGGAAAGCTCGTTCGTGTGCCATCGAATGTAGATAAACACGACTATTAATTTTATCACATACACGACCCCGGTCAAATAATACACATACAATCGAGCCTATTGTATATAGAAGATAGACGAAGCGAACTTCTCTTATTCTCTTGAAATTCATTCGTTCACAATATATTCATGTCACCCGACCAGCTGGTGCACATACCTTCTTCAATAGAAAATACGAAGAATAAAGGAAGAAAGAATAAAAAAAAAAAGATGAGAAATAAGCGATGTTCTAAGTGAACCGTAAGGACTTCTTATTCAGATTTTCAAAAAGAAAAAGAAAAAAAAAGAAATTTATTTTCATTGTCTCTTCATTCATCTTAATTTATCATCGAGTGAATTAACAAAGTTGTTCTCTATCTATCTTCTGACAGAAGAAAGATGTTGTCATGTCAGAAACAGAGACAGCAAATAATTATATCAATTACTCACACGTCAACATCCAATGTCAAAAACAGAAGTCAAAAAAAAAGAATAAAGAAAATAAAGATATATGATTAAAAAATCGCTTTTTTTTTCTTTTAATCAAATACAGTTAATTATAAGAATAAAATCATATTCATGTTCAATACTATTTTTATCCTATTTCGGACACGTAAATTCTCTTTTTTTTTTTTTTCTTTTTGATTTGCTCTTCAAATAAACTCTGTAAATGTTCGTTTGATTTTGACCAGATCGCTCTCATGCGTACGACAAGCAATAAATATCTAATTCGTCATTAATTTAACTAAACGTTTAACAATTAAAAAGAGTGGTTAGACATTTGATGTATATTCTATTACATAAACTAAACGCATCGTCACTTACATTTGTTGATCGACGAGTTTTTTCATCAAGTTTTTCTATAAGAAAAAGAAAAACGAGAAAGAATATATAAACAAACGATGAATTATTTATAAACCTGAATATGTCAAATCATTAGTAGATGTTCGTGAAGTCTAAAAAAAACAAAAATAAATATAATAATTTTATCTTTTTTTTTTTTTAATGCTTATCCTACAGAATTCGATGAAATATTATTTAATGGTTCTGATGTAATAAATGGATGAAGAAGATCTCGATTGCTATAATTACCATCATACATCTATATAAAAACAAAAAAGAAACCAATATTACAAAGTATCTTTTCTTTATGTGAAATGATACAAACTCTATCATCGTAAGTTGTTGATGGTGCACAATTATTCCAATAATCTACAAATGTAAAGAATTGAATAAAGGTTTTCGATCAAACAAAAATTTATAAAACCTTTATTTGCACCACTATACATTGATTCAGGATTTGTCGAAGGAGGTGGAACATGTGTACCACTGGGATAAGGAATAGTTGGACATAACATCTAACAAGAAAATCATTAAAACATATAGATATGAAGAAAAAAAAAGACCTACCGGTAGAGGATGACGAGATGATGAATTCATGATACTATTTTGAAAACGACTTCGATGTTTCACCTTTATAGAAAAAAAAGACGTGTTTTTTTTATTTTTTCATATTTTATCGATTTACCGCATTGAGATCGAGTAGATCGCTGAGTTCTTTATCATTATGTAAATTCATTGTTTTATTTTGTTTTGTTTTTTTTTACTCGAAATCTAAAGATATAAATTTATCGATATTCTTTATCTAACTGATCATTGATTGAGACAAACAATAAACAACAAGCCAGCAAATAGAGACAAAACTCGTTAATAAAAATTGACGAACGAAATAAAAGGAAAAATAGAGGGCGCTTTAGTTATTTTAATATTAAAGAATCTAGAGAATTTTAGAGTACTTTCAGATTAGAAAAAAATATTTTTTTTTTAAGAATATTTTTTTTTTATTGATTTTGTTCGATTTTTGGGAATGGTTGCATGATTTGAAAAAAAATGTGGGAAACAATGAGTTGCGTCATTCAACGAATGAACATTCAACGATGTTAATTGAATTCGTTTTTTTATCTATTGATATTTTAGTAGTAATTTTTTTTTGTTTCGTTTGTAATATACATGAAGAAAGATTCGAACTAAAATATTTGTACACTGGATTTGATCAGAACAGAACTGATTTATAATGAGTTAACTAAATAGTAAATATCAATAGAAAGATTTTATGTGAAACTCATCCGAATTCTTAAGTTCTTTTTGAAGTAAATGATGAATCGGTACATTTGGTTAAATTATAGTCGAAGTTTTTGTCTTTCTTATTAATTATAGTCATCTGTCGGTTGAATGAAAAAAAAAAACGTGATAAAAGAACAGTTTGATTAATTGTGAAAAGGAAATCACTGAAGATTTTTCGCTATTGGAAAAAATATTTCCTACTTTCATCATATTATTCTCTGTAATTTAGAACATAAATCATGGCTGTAAGTACAGCTGAATGGACACCACATTCATGTGATACATGTATTAATCTTGATCCTATCAAAGTAAAAATTTTTTGTTTTTTTTTGAACTATTTCTATTTTAGTCTATTATCATATTTAGAATTATGATAAATTCGAATTAATTGGTACTGGTGGTTTTGCTAAAGTCTATCGAGGTATTCGTCTATGTGATAGACTTAATGTAGCTATCAAAATTGTATGTATTCAATTTTTTTGAAATGAAAATAATGAAAAAAAAAAAGTTTTATTATAGATGGATAAACAACAATTAAAATTAAAAAATGCTCAATCACGTGTTAATGAAGAAGTTCAAATACATTATCGTTTGCGTAATTTAGCTATCGTACAGGTTTGTAAGAAATAAAAATTTGAAAACAGAATCTGGGATACATTGATTGTCTAATTTTGATTATCACAAGATTTTGTAATAACGAATGCGTTAATATAAACGTCTCTTTAACATTTTCAGTAGGGTCCATGGCTATGCTATCATTATTTTTTAAATTTATGATTAAATTTCATTATTAGGTGTGTGAAGAAACAAATAAATAATATTGCAAGACTATAATATGGCTAATTTTAATAAATAAAAAAGCAGTTTGTTTAAGTCTAGTGATTAGAAATGAACAAAAAAAACTAGATAGCAGTCATGTAGTTCTTGAAAGATTCTATCTCCTAATTAGGATAGTAAACTTTTGATGCCAATACTTGCCATGTTAAATAAGTTAGTTATTTTTTACACACCTTAACAAAGTTAAAGGTTTTTTGAATCAGCAACTTTGAGATTTAGCAAACGTTGCATTAATTGATAATGAAAACGAACATGACATTTTCAAATTATTCAATTTTGAAATAGACTGTATTATTATGTCCTCCTGTGGTCAATCATTTGCTTATTCTGAATATCGAAAGTCTCAAGAAAGACATGTTTGTTTTCATTGAAACTTTCAGAATAATCGAATAGTTATCAAACATATTTGTTGGCCAAATTTCTTCAGATTGAAATGACTTTTCAAGGAATGCCTTGTTCTTAGTAAATTTTTTTTTGCAAACTGTAAAGTATGTTTAATTGAAACTAACAAGAATTATCAATTTAGTTGATGAGAAAGTAGGATATGTTAGAAAATGAAATTTTATTTATAAAATTGCAATTTTCATTCTACACATGATGGACTTCAACATGATCTAACTCACCAAAATAAGATCATGAAGGAGTGATATGATTATTTAAATTTAAATTTGATTATTGAAAAATAATTTTCTATAATATTTAATTTAGTTACTTGAAGTATTTGAAGATGATACAAATATTTATCTTATACTTGAATTATGTGCAACAGATATGCAAAAATATTTAAATATTCGTCAACAATTTACTGAAGATGAAAGTAAGATTATATAAATTATTTTTAAAATATTTTTTCTATTATACATTTATTTAAAGCACGTCATTATATAAAACAAATAGTAACTGGTATTGAATATTTACATTCTCATCAAATTCTTCATCGTGATCTTAAATTACATAATTTACTTTTAACAAAAGATAATAATGTCGTACGTATTTTATAAATAAATAAAGTTAAAACTAGAATATTACACAGGCTACGTTCATGGGCAAAGCACAGTCTAGATTGGTTATAAGTTTATTAAACTTTCGAATCAATCAAGATATTAAATTTAGCAAAAAAAAAAACATGTTTCTGTATTGTAGAAACTAGACTGACAAGTTTAATTCTAGGCATCAGATATCGATTAGAACGTGATTTTTTGCTAATTGAAAATCAATATAGGGTGTTAGAAAAAAAAGCTTAACAGTAACGTATTTGTTTTCATGATATTCATCATCTAGCTTAAATATAGAGAATGATTTCGAGAGTCAATAAAGTGTCCAATTTAATACATTCCATTATAAGATTTTGCATGGCAAGATTTAAAAAAAAATAGAATACGATAGTCTTCAGATCCCAGAAGACTCTAAGATTTTGTCTTAAATCATTCAAAACATTGAATAGAAAACGTCTTTTTTTTCAAAATTTTCCTGTCTTTAAAATGGTATTGTTAAAAAAGTAGTTTCAAGAAAGTCTTCTGGACTCTAAAAACTACCGTATCCGATTTTTCAGAAGCCTTGTCATATAAAATCTTGGTATTCATTGTATTTAATAGAAAACTTCATTGTTTTTGAATAACTACCTAGATTTGAACTGATTGCTGAACATTCTAGAGAAAAATATAAAATACGTGCGTTTTTAATAAACGTTTTTCCAGCACCTTAAGTTATATTGAAAAATTCATGAAATTTATAGTATTCTATAGTGTACGAGACTTATTCACCAAGTATTCATGGATTTTTTTATTTTCAATTTGTTCTGATTTTCTATGATCGAGAAAAATAGCATAGATGGAACCGCTCTGGATTTCTCACGATCAGTACCGATTCCATCTTTGGAAAAGAGAATGAATGTTACGAAAATCTTCGATATGGCGGAAACGTCGAAATTTGATCTAATGAGCACTGAGTGTTGCTTTTGAAACTTGTTTTCATTATCTCGAAAAACAAACAATTCTTCAAAATCGTCATTTTATGGAACGAATTTAGAACTAACGAAAGTTTATAAGAGAGCTCGAATCGATCTTTAGATCACCAGGATACAAAATAGTGATTTTGTCGAAAAAGAGAAAGAAAAACTTGCAACTGACTGCTGTGATGCTTTGCAGTGTAATAACCTTTTTATATATTCTCTTTTGTTTTGTTAAGAAAATAGCTGATTTTGGTTTAGCAAAACAATTAATTACACATGAACAAACAAATTTTACGATGGTTGGTACACCAAATTTTCTTGCACCCGAAATAGCAACACGTAAAACACATAGTTTTGAAGCTGATATATGGTCATTAGGTGCATTGATATATCAATGTTTAGTTGGAAAACCACCATTTGATGATCAAGGTTAATTAATTAATTTTATTATTCAAAAGTAAAATGAAATTTTGATTCTTTTATTTTAGATGTTCTTTCAACATTAAGACGAGTTGCAAATGTTCGATATGTTTTACCTGAAGGTTTAAGTCATGAAGCAAAAGATTTAATTAATAGAATATTACAAAAAGATGCTAAAAAACGTTTGACATTGATACAAATTCGTAATCATCCATTTTTATCAAAATGTCTAATGAATGATCGAATAAATTCATCAAGAAATAGCTGTACTGTATGTAGAAACATTTTCATCTTAATAATGTTTGATTTCTATTGAAAATAAACTTTATTTATTAGTCATTAAGAAGTGATAGTGGATATTTTGATACATCGATATCAAGTCGACAACAAACAAATGAATCAACGTAAAAAGAAAAAGTTTTTATTCTTCTTTTTAATAATACTTTCATTAAATTTAGACTTTCAAGAGGACCGCTAACATTAAATTCTTTACCACCATTAATCATAAATAAAAATCAAAAAATGTATGTTAATTATCTTATTTTGAAAATAATTCGCTTTTTTTTTTTTAATCATTTATCAATTAGAAATGCTTCATCAGCATCCATATTAAGTTATAATAATTTAAGTAATACAAATAATATAAGTCAACGTAAACCTATTCATGAAGTATTAACTCCATTAAATACACAACGTCTTGATCGTCGACATGTTATAACAAAAAGTGATATTGTAGGTTATAGATTTATTCGATTTATTAATAGAATAAAATATTTAGATGGATGTATTGGATGATGGAGAAGTTGTTATTCAACATCTTGTTGAAGTTAAAACTGGTTCAAAACGAATAGTCGATGTCTTTCGAGTATCATCTGATGGACAAAAAGTGAAATTGTTTTATAGTTTATTCAATGTTTTCTATTTATTTATTTTTTTGTTTTTGGTTTTAAAGATTATTTATTATCGACCAGATCGAAGACAATATAATTCATATATTGAAAGTGAAGGTCCACTTCCATTACCGGTGAACTATGAACAATATACATTTGATACATTACCTGAACAATTTCATAATAAATATCGTCGAGCATGGAAGTAAATTTATCTTTAATACTTGATATTTAAGGATAAACAAAATTTTCCATATTTTATATAGATTTGTGAATATCATTCGTTCACTTCGATGTAAGATAATTATGTATACTAATGATGGTAAATGTCGTCTAATGGAAACATCAATTGAATTCGATGTAAGTTTTTCTCTTTAATAAATAAAATATTGAACAAATGAAATAACAGAATATTGAATAGATTTTTCTAAGAGATGGATAAATTATTTCGAAATAATGAACGAAGATTTCGTTTTCATTTGATTAATGTTCGCGTAAGACTTACAGTTACTCGGCTAAATCTTGAATACATCCAGAATACTAGCAGCTAGTCATCTGTGATTTATAGTAATAGAAAGAGAAGAATAATGATGTTTCTTTCCATGCATGATGGATAGAACGAAATTATTTTGAAAGCACTGATTTATACAAAACATTGAAAAAAAAATTGATGATCATAGTTTGTCTTTCCGATGTTTATCTCTTAGATGCGGAGATTTGACATCAATAACTGAAGAAACAATTGAAATAAGTATCTTCTGACATTCTGGTGCTAAACAAATAAAATTGTGTATTTATTCGATCGAGTTACATGAAATTCTGTTGATTATAAAGCAAATTTTCTTGTTATCAATATTATCAAAATATGGTAAATTCAAGTTTTCAAAGAATTCAAATTTCCTGCAATGAATGATCCTAGCTACAGAATACTGCTTCAAGGGTCTAGATTAGTTTAAATGTTGATAACGTATAGTTAAAATTTATTTTTACACAATTCAATAGAAGAGACACAACTCATAGTTTGACGTTGGATTGGACTGAAACACTCATGTTATTATGAAAAATATACAGAATATGGGTGGAGACAAGAGCTGTACCTTTCCCACATCCGCATTAGATGATCGGTCAGAGAATAGTCAATCGTTTAAGTATCAAACTACTACCGATACAGTTCATATCATACCGAACGGTCTCTTTATTGATAAAACTTATAATGAATATTTTTGCTTTTAGTTTACTCATTTAAATGGAACGAAAATTTCTATTTATCGAAAAAATTTGGAACATCTTGATTCTCCATTAGAAATTAAACTAGTTGATCCATCCGGTCGAATGACATCAATATTTAATTATAACGATTGTATTGAACAACTTAATGTACCACTTGATACAAAACAAATGTTACAAAAAGCAATTAAAGTATGTTGACATATGATGGGGACCTCCTTACAAATTTACTTCCGATTTCAACAATTATTTTTTTTGAAAACTTCACGTCTCAAAAATATCTCGTTGAAAGCTTGTGAAGTTTTTTATGAAAGCTAGTCTAATTGAGTTCTCTCTATGCGTAAAATTTCAGACCAAATTTCAATAGTTTAGCCAAAATTAGCATTCTTTTAGTGTTTTTCTTAGAAGACAGTGTGATTTTTTATGGATAAAAATGTCATGAATATTTGAAGAAAACATCTCAGAAGGTTTCCTCGTTAATAGATCAGAAATATGATTTAATACCTGTATGCTTTGATTTTAGTTTCGAGAATGTTGTTTGATAAAAAATCAATTACTTGAAGAACATCAAGCTCAATTTCCTGAAGGAAAAACATTTCCAGCTATTTTTGGTGAAAAACCTCGGTCGTCTTCACATAACATATTGAAATAATTATTTTATTTTCAATGATCATAGAATACTATTTTTCTAGATAGATTTTTTTTGTTTAATAAGTTTTCTTTGTAGAAAAAAAAAAAGAGAAACTCTTATCCTGTTTCTCATTGTCTGCTTAAATGACTGCTCTATTTTCTTTGTGTTAGAATTGTATATTTTGTTTTCGAATTAATAAATGAACAAAAAAAAAAAACTACAAGATGAAGATGATAAATTAAGAAAAATTGGTCTTTGCTATTTATTATTTTTTCTTAACAGTAAATAAGCGAGGTTTAGGTTTGTCACTAGTTGGTGCGATGTCATTTTCTAACGCATGTATTAGTGATATCGAGAAAATCTTTTCTAATCCATATGTAAAAAACTGTTTGCACAAAATGTTGACCCAATTTTCAGTCACTCATATGTCATTGAGAAGAATCAAAAGTCATCAATTAGACTTAGATGTTGATAAATTTCCCTAATACATGTTCGAAAATTTTCCTCACTGATGTTTGGTAAGCTGTAATGAGACATCGAAATAAGCAAAACATGACTTTTGAACCAAGTAGAACTTTTTTAGACGAAGATAATAGAATTTTGAAATTTCTCCATCATTTTATCTTTCTATTAGTTCAATTTTCTTTCATTCAATATTTTGGGCTTATAATCAAAGTGGGCACGTTGTAATGATTCTTATTTCAATTCTTTTCTTTTGAGATGTTAGTTGTCAATAAGAATAACTTGTATCTACGATAAGACAGAATCACTTGTATTCTAATGAAATATAAGACAACTAGAGATAACTCTTTTGTAATAAATATTCTTCATACACATTTTGCAAAAAATGAACTGTATATCAAGCAAGAGTTCGATGAATCCATTATTGTAAGAAATCAAACATAAGCATTATAAAGTAAACCACCTATTGTAACATTCTAAGTAAAATATCTGAGTGCTGTTTGAGTCAATAGTCATTCGGAAATAAGTTTCTTAATAGTTACTTATGTAAAACCGTCAAATTTTTTTCATTTGTTGTTGATTATGTTGACACAGATCAAATTGAGATAAAATAAAGATGAATTCAAATGAAATAGATTAAAAACGAGTTGAATCAAGAAAAACCACTTCAATGACATGCTGAAAATTAATCCCACAAAGAAATCATAATTATAACAGAAATCTTACAGAATGTCGTATCAAATACAATAAATATCATGTCACTAATCGACATTAATTGTTGAAAAAAATCTGCAGAGAGGTGTAGTCAATATTACGTAATACTTCTACAGTATTTAATATAAGTCATTGTTCTTTTTTTTCCCAATCTAGACAGATTCATCAAGATTTTGTTTATTGACTAATGATTTGAGAACATACTATTAGTTATCAATTTCTCATGAAATAAATGAATGATAAAAAGAAAGATTCATATTTGATCATTCATGAAGCTTTCATTCTATCATTTGCCATGTATTGTTATTAGTGAAAAGCTAAATATGAAATTTATTCTACAACACCCTTTTACGTATGATTTCAATTGATATGGTTCCAAAAATAGCACTTCTGTATTTGGAAGACTATTTTTACAAAGTAGAGATGATAATCTGGATAATTCCAACATATTTTCTATAAATTGTTGTTTTTGTATGATGCTCAATTACTTCATCATTCTTATCTTGTTATCTCTTGTGTTCTTATTCGACTAAGCGTAGTTCTATATATAAATATATTTTACTTTTTGTGGATGGATATAGTGTGCATGGCATCGTAATATTTCAAAAAGTATTGATACTGTTGATGACGCTGTTGTAATTCAAAATTTATACATTGATCATTTTGATAATGAGTTATTTACATACAATGAAAAGCACGATCAATTAATTAAGAATTATATTTCATATTTATTGATACTTGCTGTAAAGACGAAATTTTTTTCTCAAACATTAAATACTTAATTATTGCAATATCAAATTAGTAATATGATTATTCACAACCATTGTGTTATCTTCAAATCAACGAGATTTACAAACAGAAAATTGTACTTTACATTGTTCTCTTTTGATAGATTCATGACTTTGTTTCAGAACTTTACGTACTCACTTGGTCACATGTGCATAATGTAAAGCATCGTGTAATTCAAATTATAAAAAAAATAGACAAAAGAACTTAATAATCCAATAGAAATTTCAGTCAAGTTACGTTGTTAAAGTAGCAAACAAATTTATAAATCTGATAGTATTACTTTTATCTGGAAAAATTTTCAAAACGTGAAAGTAGAAAGCTACTAAAAAAACTTTGATGATAAATAAGAAAAGCAAAAAACGAAATATTTCATAATCTTGTTTTATTCAACAAACAAAAAAAGATTATTAACGCATCAATATGTAAAAGAATTGATTTGTATACGATCAAAATCAAATTTTGTTTAGTTTTATTCAAGTAATGATAAGTTTATTCAAAGATGGACAATATATTTTATTTTATTTCAATCACTTTTTTTTTAAACGAATGAGTCCAGGACGACGACTTACTGCTACTCGAGTATTAATTATATGATCAAAGGGAGAGTAATCCTTCATATTACTTCCATCATCTGCAACTTCTATTGACGCGAGTAAATCTTGTAGTTGTCGAATGATATGTGGACCTGTATGTTCAATACTTTCATGAAGATCATTCATTGGTACTTGATCATTATCTAATTGATAAGCCTTCATATTATTGATGTTGATTGACAATAAAACAGCGAAGAGTAAGACGATCATATATCTTGAAGACATTATGTTGTTACAATGTTTCAATAAATGAAATACACGATGTATTTTCTAGTAAAAAAAAGAAGAGAAATTCAAAAGACTGACACAATTTATAGCATAGCTCTCTAGAAATTCATTTCCTGTAAAATACACAAGAATCAAGATTTTTATCTCTATTATAAGATGTTGTCTGATGAATACAACGGAAGAGAAAAAATAGTTTCTGAAATTGAAAATTTTCTTCTCATCAATAACATATTAGTGTAATCTTTGATAAAACTACGGGATAGAACTATCACATACTAACGATTGTTAATGTAGTAACACCAAATACTTCAAACATCTAACAGTTAGACAAATATCCTACCTTTTTCTTATAATGTATTTCCGATATGCATTTATTGTTATTCTTCTTATTATTCCTCTACCTTTTATTTCCTCGAATGCTTTGTGCTCAGTTTCTTATTTGGAGAGTTTTTTGAACACTTTATTCTTTTTGTTCTACCCAATAGTGATTAGACTAATACCTTGATTTACTCTACACATTTACTTTACTGAAAAATATAGTTCAATAAAGATATTGTCTCAATTGATAGTCAATTGGCATTGCAGAATGAGCGGAACTAAGTGCATTTAGGAAATCCAAAGAATTCCGGAAATTTCTTCTTCCTTTTAGGTAGCTTTCATCATTAGGATAATCGACTATGCCATTAGACATGGTATACGAACATATTTTAGTGTAATCAATCAAAAGTAATCAATAATAAATAGGAAAACAGTCTGTGCAGAATGACTTTATGTTATTATCAATGAAAACATGTTCAAGTATATTCGCATTCGTACACAAATTAATCTTCTTTTTTAAAGATAAAATATAGAACAAAGCATAATAAAGAACATATGATGAATCATGTCTATCAATTAGATCGAATTGATTACAATTCTCTTTTTTTTCTCCATTGAAAACAAAGCACATGTATAATTTTGAATTTTCATATTGATTTGTTAATCATCTTATTATATACAATAATGGATAATTGAAAAAATTTTACAGAGGATGTTTGTTCACTTTTGATTTAGTAGAAAGTATTTTCGACAAATTTGGACAAGAATTCTGTATTCTTTTCAAATATGGGTCTAGACAGTTTGTTTGAGAGTAGTGAAATAATCTTTGAGAAGCTCAAAAAATTACTTTAGACGAAACTTGTGGACTGAAGTTTTTGCTGAACATGTTTGCTTATTTTAACCTATTGGAAGCATTTTAGACGATCCAAAAACTTTAAGCCACGATCAGAATTTACTGTTTTATTTTGAATAAATGATATGTTTATTTTCGTTCATGAGTAATGAGAAACTTTTTGAAAGACTTGAAAAATTTATTTTTAACGATGAGTCAACAGGTTTTTGTTTAGTCTACAAGTTCCTTTTCGAACATGTTAAAAATTTCTTTAACTCAGTCGTTTTGTAGAGCAGACACTTCTCTACGGCATATGATGTTGAACTAAGCTGTAGCTTTTACTCAAGTAAAACTATAAGGATTTTTCAAAAGCTTCATTCAACGTGAAACGATTGTTAATTTTTCAAAAATAAATATTTTGGAAAAAACGAAAATTAAGTTGCATTATCGAAGAAGAACAAGTCAAGGAAATAGTTGTATTTTCATTATTTTCAATACAACTAACAGTAATTACATAAAAATATCTTTTTATGAAGCAATAGTGATGAAATTTTCTTTTACATTCATTTCTGGATTTATTTCTAATTCTTGTAGTTCTTTTTTTCTCATTTTGAAAGAGTTTTAGTTCTTGTTCTAATTCTTCTTCTTTAGTGAGAATTAATCAGTTGATCTTCAGAAAAGGATATCGTTCTAGATTGAAAGTTAATTGGCTTTTTATGTTTTTCAATTTCTCATTTTGTAAGCTGGTTAATCAAGAAAAAGTAAAATCTTTTGTCGTATAAATTATCAACAGAGAAAGAAGGTAGAATTAATAGAGGAAAAATAGCACTGATATAAATATTGTTTCCGTTCAATATAATGAAAATAATAAAATACAATCATTTCCTTCAAAATCTAAGAAAAGAAGCGTTAGAAATATTTCTGAATGAGTTGATTTTTATTTGAATTAATTTTTTATTTTATATTTCTTTGATTCTAATACTTGTTGTTTAGTATTCTATTTGAATATAATAAAGAATACATTGAGTAAAATTATTAATAAATTTTGCTTATATTAATTATGAAGTACATACATATTGACTATAGTATAACTTAATATTTACTGATTATTTGAGCTTGTGAAAGACTTTTTCAGTATTCCTGGACAATATTTGTAATCCCATGTTTGAAAAGAACTCAAAATGCTTGTCCTAACTCATCAGAAATGTTTTATAGTGGATGAAAAATGGACAAACATCTTATCTAAAAACTCTCCAATCGCCCATTATTACGTTAGGACAACTAATCAATACACAATATTCAAAACATGTCTGATTTTTTTATACATTAAATTAAAAGTAAGTTCCGTTATAATTGATTAAACTATAATATATACATATATTTGATACGGTTCGAAATATTACAGATAATAAGAAACCTCAACGATAGTATTTCAAGATACATCATTTAGATAGTGAATTGTTAATTTTTACATGCATACATAAAAATAAATCTGACAACATTTGTTTAATTCGAAATATTAAAATCAATTTTTATTTAAATTTGAATCATCAATATCTAAAACTTGTTCTCCATTTACTTCCCATGGTTTTACTGTTCTTGTAGGCCATCGAAGTACTAATAAATCGGTTGATGAAGCAAATTCTTCTGGTGCATTATCATCTGGTATTGGTGTTAAGATAAAATAATCAAATTCATTTGAATCAGTAAATAATGTAGTTGTTAATCGTGCTGCTGCTTGACATTTTTCCGGTGTTGTATTTGGATTATCACGTGTAAATTCTTCTAATGATGGATAAAGTTTTGAAGAATCTGAATGCATAGCCTCTTGAATACCATTTGAAATTTTTTCTTCTTCGTCACGTTCGAGTACCACTGCTATTAAACCACGAATAATTTCACTTTCAGGTGATAAATTTTTCATTAATTGTGGAACTGCAGACATTTTTTTAATTTTCAATTCTTTATTTTTTTCATAAACTTCAAGAATTTTTGATAAAGCAATACCAGATACACCACCAATAAGCTTGCCACCAATAGAGCCAACAAATCCACCAATAGTTGCACCAAGTATTGGCACTGGAATAAGTATGGTACCAACAATAGTGCCCGTTGTGCCACCAACAACCTATTAAATTAATTTTAAAAAGTTGATGTTTGTTTGTTTTAAACAAACTTACAGTTGTTGATGCTGATGTAATTCGTCGAACAACATATTTCTTAAGAGCAACATCACTTAAACTTCCTTTTTTTCTTTCATTTTTTTTCTTTCGTATATCAATAAATGCTGATATACTTTCTACAGCTGTTAATATAACTCCTGATCCAACAGCACTTAAAAATTGTCCAAGTGTTCGTACACTAACCATAGCAACATCTTTAACAAGTAATGCTGTTGGATCAAGAATTAGTAAAGTTGCAGATTTTTCTTGCACTAATCCACGAAATTTATATACTTGTTCAGAATAATGTTCACCTGTTCGACACCATCGAGCCCAATGTTCACAATTATTTCCTAATAATGAATAACCACGTCTACCAAGTTGTGAAAAAGCTCGTTCTAATGTTTCTTCATTTGAAAAACATGGAATATTATCATAATGATGTAAATAAACATCTTCACTTGTACTTTTTAAATTAACTGGCCATTCACTTTCAATTATTGCAGCTATATAAACTGAGCCTCTCATTAATGCAGTTCGTGCATGTTCTAATGTATTAAAATAATGTATAACACGAAGATAATCTGTACGTGCTTCACAAACAATACCATGATGAGCATAATAGAAATCTGTTTTATAAAAACTAATATGATCACCTGGTTGAAGTTTATTTAAATCTATAATTTTCTCATTACGAGTTTTTTTAAAAGATCGCTCTTTCTGAGCTAAAGCTTTAACCGCTTCTAAATATATATCCCAAAAAGAAATTGATCAATGATAGTACATACAACTGACCTGTTAACTGTTCTTTGATTTGAGATGGAAACCAAGATCTATTGGCCATAGTCTATTTTTTTTCTAAAAATATACATTTTATTGTGATTTTATGCTAGACTTTTTTCTTACGCTGCAATAAAAAAACACCTATACATTTAAGCACATACTTTTGCAAGTTTGACATGGCCTTTATTTTATAGGAAGAAAAAAGACTCGTGTGGTTGGCTGTGCTAAGGGCGTCCATATTTACATCGTTCTTTTTCGTGCATAGTTTCTGCATGCTAACGTCATCAACACATGATGTGAGCTTTCTTTATACAGTATTGGCTGTTACATCAAAAGTGATGATTAATCACATCATATTTCTATGTCAGCAATCATTTGAAGTTGTTTATTATAAAACTGCGCCTCATATAAGAACTCATGATTCAATCAATGATTCAAAGATTGTATTTATATAGGTAAAACGTAAAAAATGAATAGTGACCATAAAATTTCTGTATTTTTTATGAGTAATCGTTTACTAAATATAATAATGCATACTTTACTGGTTTGTTGAAGTTTGCTAAATTTTATATTAATTTATATGATTGCATTCCATCCATTACTGTTGATTTTTATCGTTTTGACATAATGATAATAGAATAGTTGTTTTTGATAATCTTCATAAATTTGCATGAAGTTACTAACAAAGAGTAAAAATTATCCATAATAATGAATTTTTTAACCAATACTAGGAAAAAAACCCGAAGGCAAATAATTAGACTTATTTAAAATAAATAAAGTTTAGAGAATTATTAGTTAAAAATTTGACTTTTGTAAAACGATACGAAAATATTTCTCCGAAAATTTTGATTGCAAACTTGTCTTACAACAAGATCAGTTAAAAAGTTTTGACATCTCTCAGT